CAATAATTTTTTCCAATGATACTTCCTTGATTTCATTTATGTGCTCTAACAAACTAGCCCTCTATCTTTCCAAGGTATAGAAGAAAAAGGGCGAAAGAAAAAGCTGGGTCTATGCTGTCCGTAGAATAAATAAACCACAGGATTTGCATTATTAAAATTAAATAAGAAATGAGCAAGTAGGGGAGACACATACCTATCTAGATAACAGAGACTACCTCATTGCCCCCTAGATATTCTACACCTTTTGTATCTTAGAGAGAGAGAAAGAGAAAGAGAAAGAGAGGGTAAAGACAGAAAGAGGAGAGGAAAAGGTCTTCTTGCTATCAAAAGAGAGAGGAAGAAGACCTAGCCAGGAAAAAAAAAAGAGCGGAGGTTTTAGGGGTTGTTAAAAATGAGAGAAATCATAAGCATTCACATAGGACAAGCAGGGATTCAGGTTGGGAATTCCTGTTGGGAGCTGTATTGCCTTGAACATGGCATCCACGCTGATGGCATGATGCCCAGGTCTGTCTCTCCTTTTTTCTGCCCATCTTTTATTTGTAAAAGCTTACCTTTTTCCTTTTTTATGTGTTTATAGGGGTTGATGGTTGAAGATTTGTGATTCTCATCATCTTTGGGCTTTGTCATTGCATGGGTTCGATTAAAAATTTCATTTTTTGAAAAGGGTTTCTGTGATTTTTTGGTTTTTACCTTTTCTCCCTGGACAAAAGAGCAGATGTTTTTTTTTTCTTTTTGGGATTCATTGTCTGTTTCTGTTGGAGTTTTGGGCAATTTTGTCGGTGGATCCGTTTTGTAGCTTGGGAAATTTGATCTCAATTTGTATGATGAGAGGATGGTTGTACATTCTTGAATTTTGTGCTTCTGGTGACCATTTGTGCCTCATGACAGAAAGATTAAAGAGAGAGCAAAATTAATTTGTGTTTTGGAGCAAATGTGAACCATGTTCTGAACAAATCTGGGTGGTATGTGATCAATAGTTGAAATGAGATGCGCATTCTGCTAAATCTTGCTTTCTTTTGTTGTTTCACGTACCTTTCAGTGATTTGTTCTGTCGTTGTGGTTATGAATGAATCTCTCTAAATTTTGCAGTGACACTACAGTGGGTATTGCACATGATGCATTCAACACTTTTTTTAGCGAAACCGGATCAGGGAAGCATGTTCCAAGAGCTATTTTTTTGGATCTCGAACCCACTGTTATCGATGAGGTCAGGACTGGGACATACCGCCAGCTTTTCCACCCTGAACAGCTTATTTCTGGAAAGGAAGATGCTGCTAACAATTTTGCAAGAGGGCATTATACTGGTAAAATGTTTCTGAGGAGCTTTGTCTAAACCATCGCTGTTTTGTATCTGTCTGTTATGTTTGGATATTCATTGCTGTGTTAATATGTTTTGCAGTCGGAAAAGAGATTGTTGATCTTTGCCTGGATAGGGTGAGGAAATTGGCTGATAATTGCACTGGCTTGCAAGGTTTCTTAGTTTTCAATGCTGTTGGTGGTGGTACTGGTTCTGGATTGGGATCATTGTTATTGGAGCGTTTGTCTGTGGACTATGGAAAGAAGTCTAAGCTTGGCTTCACCATCTATCCTTCTCCCCAGGTGCTTATACTGTAGTTACAGATGAGGAACATTGGACTTGTTAATTTGAATGTTATGCTTATGTGGTGTTTATGTATCTCTCGCACGTTTTAACGCAATGCCCTTAGTTATTATTTGCTGTAGAAGTTTGCTGGATGTTGATTCTATGAGTACACGTCGAATAGTTGAAGTTTTATAACATTTTGATATGAAACAAATTGGAGTCAGTTTGTTGCTGAATAGGTATTATCTAATTAATTTAAATTATGAAGTTGCAAAATAGAGGTTAACAGCACTCATCTGGTTTGATTTGCAGGTATCCACTGCTGTTGTGGAGCCTTATAACAGTGTTCTTTCTACTCATTCCCTCCTTGAACACACGGATGTTGCTGTGCTGTTGGACAATGAAGCCATTTATGATATTTGTAGGAGATCTCTAGATATTGAGAGACCTACATATACTAATTTGAACCGCTTGATTTCTCAAATCATTTCATCCCTGACAACTTCTTTAAGATTTGATGGAGCCATCAATGTGGACATTACAGAGTTCCAGACCAACCTTGTACCATATCCTCGAATTCATTTCATGCTTTCATCTTATGCACCTGTAATATCAGCTGAGAAAGCATACCATGAACAGCTATCAGTGCCTGAGATAACAAATGCAGTGTTTGAGCCCTCAAGCATGATGGCAAAATGTGATCCTAGACATGGGAAGTATATGGCTTGCTGCCTGATGTACCGTGGAGATGTTGTTCCCAAAGATGTCAATGCTGCTGTTGCTACCATAAAAACCAAAAGGACAGTTCAGTTTGTTGACTGGTAAGGAAATTGCTTATTATCACTATTATACATTAAGAAGTATCTTGGAGATTTTCAAGATGCTGGCTCTTAGTCTCGTAACTATTTAGTATATTCTCTGAAATGGTCAAGATATGAATATGCTAGTCTAAATCATCTTGTCATGCATTTGGTCTAAAACATCTGGAACTGAATGGTTCTTTAGTTGTATCATTATTGTGTTTGGACAAGTTTAACTAAGATCAGCTTCTCCAAAATCCACAAGATGCTGCATTTAGGACTATTTCAGGTGTTTTGCTGATGTTTAATTTTGAATTTGCCAGCTTCATTTTAGTGTTATGTAATTTTTTTTTTGGGTATGCTTCATACTCTTCATTGATCTTCAGGAAAGAGAACACAAAGTAGGTGGAATCTCTGAAAACATGTAGAGAACATAAACCTGAAAACAGTTCACGAGCTACCTATACATGGAATTTGGGTGTTACATTCATGTAAAACAGGCAGGATTACTCTAAATTAACCTTTAACATAATTTGGTGAAATTGTAACTCAAGTCATTAGTTATATATCAGTTTCTTTAGGTAAATAAGATGGCTATGAACCAAGCTCAATCTAAGCCTGATTTCAGATACTGGCTTATTCAATCTTAACCGTTGATTTATGATCACTTCCAACCTGTCCATGCATACATAAACATGTGTCCACTCTAGGTGAAGCATGGAGTAGGATAACGTGACATGCTACCATCAACAATTATCTACTGCATGGCATGCATGTTCATTGCAGACAGCATGTGTTAGAACCCACTAACATTTGTTCTTTCTGCTAGTATTTCTTCCCTTAATTTTCCCTCAAAGGGAAGAACGACTGTTTGTTTTGACGGCTCACCGGTTAACCTTGAGAATGATCGTCGTGCACTTACGGCTAAGACCAACTTAGCAATAGCCATTATGTTTATTCATTTCAATGTGTACGTTTGATCATCCTCTCTTCTTTACACAGGTGCCCTACCGGCTTCAAATGTGGTATTAACTATCAACCTCCAACTGTGGTACCGGGGGTGATCTTGCCAAAGTGCAGCGAGCTGTGTGCATGATCAGTAATAATACTGCAGTGGCAGAAGTTTTTTCGCGGATTGATCATAAGTTTGACCTCATGTACTCCAAGAGGGCATTTGTTCATTGGTACGTCGGTGAAGGCATGGAAGAAGGAGAGTTCTCCGAAGCCCGAGAGGACTTGGCTGCTCTTGAGAAGGATTACGAGGAAGTTGGTGCTGAAGGTGTTGACGAAGAGGAAGAACCCGAAGACTACTGATAGCTTGGCATGTTATGAACACGGGCTTTCTGGCTTTGCCCATCTCTTCTACTTGATTGAATCTGTACCTTATCTTTGTGTATTGCTGTTTCTTTGCCTAGCTTGCAATTGTTGAATTGTGTCAAATGTTTCAATCTCAAAGTTTTTGTGCTAATAGCAAACAGGTGATGATCTATATATATTAGATTCTTGTGATGAAGCATGCTTTCAAGAAACCCATACCTCATTTTCTTTTCCTCGCCATTTACCTTTCTTGTTTCTGACCTCCAACGTTGATTATTGCCTTGAAACTCAATTGGTACGACATGACAAGGTTATATCAGAGTGAAATGGTGAGATGCATTCGGCTGGTTTCTCTTGATTACAAAGATGTGGCCGTCAAAATGCTTATGAAAACAATCTTCGGCTTCTGATTAAACAATCTCTCGGCCAAAAGATTACTCTTTTGTTAAACGGTTAGATCAAGCAAACAAGGAGGAGGCCTCTTGGCACTAAACGTCTACGATTGTTGGCTGCTAGCATAAGATGATAAAATTACTCCCACAGCGGATGTAAGTCTGTACCCTATGCTTTTGCTTTAGCTTTGTTTGGATAGCAAAAATTACGTTTTTCGTGAATACATTTTCAACCACCTTTTTACTTCATATATATCAAATCGTTACAGTAATATTTTCACAATAAAATCCAGAAAAATGCAATCCAAACTCAAAAATACAATTTTAGGTGATCCGCGTACTTTGAAATGCGTGCATGCAGGCGTTTCTCCTAGTTCCTTTTACACCCATGATACAAATAAACAAAATCTTAGGCTAGTGGCTGCCAGCAGCAAATGCCTATGGCTTTGGTTAAAATTTTGTTTATCAGCTGAGAGTGCCGTCTAATGCTGCTCAGTTATGGGGAAGAAAAGTCACATGAAAAACTAAAATCAAGAATGCTTGCAGCAGGCGATCCAAGAGAAAACAAAAGCTTGTTTGTTGCCTCCGATGCCACACAATAATGTGACTCAAAACATCTGAGATTATGATGAGAACATTTAATATCAACATACAAATACTGATGCCACTGGAAAAGTTCAAGAGACACTCTGGAGAGACGAATTAAAGCCAAGCTTCCTGAGGTCTTCTAGTTGCCAACAACAATTAAGAATCTTAACCTCATGAAAATGGAAAACGGTTATATTTTCTGGTTCAAAATCAGTTCCCCAGAATCACTAATATGTAGTAAAAAAGGAAGCAATTTCTAGTAATCCCCAGAAACATCTTGATGTAACTCTATCGGCTGCCAAATTGAAAAGGATAACGAAATCACCAAAATAAAGAGGCGATCTGCTTTTAAAGGACAGTGGGAATAAAGCTACGGCACCCTGCTAACAACTTTAACCACCATAAAACCATAACCCAGAAAAGAAAAGATCCAACAATTATGCTAACCTGTTCTTAACTCATTCTACAAAAATACGGTGTTCACGTCTTAGTACTATCAGATGTACATCAAACTATACCTTCACAGAGTGCAAAATTCCAAAGCCACTATAAGAAGCTATTTACAAGAAGTTTGGTCCTCATTCTGCCTATCTCGGAGCTGCAGAAGCAAATGAAAGGAAATAATCAATCCACTCACTGATTAACATGGAAACACTAAAAAAAAAAAAGGCAAAACAAAAACTCCACCACAATATATACTTCATTCCTTGGGATTTAAACCATTACCAAGAATACAATAAGAAAGGTTTTGATACAGTGTCCCAATCACAGTGAGACAACAGGAAAAGAAGAAATTTAAGACTGCTATTTTCTAGGGACCCATAACCTACTTTTGTTCTTATAAGACTTGGCACAAGCAGCGGAAAGCAGCAAACGTGACAGACGGATTATAATGTCCTCTCAAGAAACTACTTCATGTAGTGATGGTAGTTTCTAACTCTGCCTCTCTGCTGCCTCTTTGCTTTCACTGCTGGCATATTTAAGTGAGAAAACAATTATAAACTGGGCAATCATCCCTCTTCTTGTAGTACAATGTCACTTTCATAAGCAAAAGACAATCGTAAGAATCAGGTGCTGACCCATCCAGTTGAGCATCACACATTTTAATCAGGACCATGCTTCAATTTTCACATGCAAATATAAGTATGTCAAACACGCAGATGACCTATATGAAATTTGACTTTTCCTTTATGCCATGAATACGTGGCAGGGAATTAACTCCAAAAACTAGGAAAGGTCATAGCTTTCAGAAAACTGATTTTTCCTGCATGTCATTAGTCCGTGGACAAGCCAAAAGACTAGGAAAATTCTTGAAATTTTGAACAAACAGGTAAATAATCAAGTAAAGAAAAGGGACATAGCCAAGTTTAAAAGCAAGAGGCACCAGATGGATGAAAGTACCAAATAGCACATTAGCTAGTCACCACCAAGATCTTGGTATCTCAAGCTTTCTGGTGCAGTATTCAACCTTTCAATCTCTGCTTCAGCAAAAAGTGACATATTTAGCATTGGAAATCATAAAAAACAACAAAAATCTTTACCTTGGTGTTTCAACCTACCATTGGGGTCAAGAAAGTTGCCTGAATCAGCTGTCATGAAGGGTGGGCTAGAGTACATGTCTGTCATGAAACGAAACAAGGGTTAAGCGAAAGAGGCTGAGTGGGGCGATGGGGAGGGGAGGGAGATGTCTGTCATGGTGGGCTCGAGAGAGAGGGGAGATGGGGAAGGGGAAGGGTGAAGGGGGAAGGGAGGGAGATGTCTGTCATGGTGGGCTCGAGAGAGAGAGAGAGAGCAAACCAGAACCATTGGCAAAATCAGCTCCGAGGTCTGAGAGGCCAAAATGTTGAGAAATTTGCCCAAAAAACCCAAATGAAGAAGTGTCAGCATCAATCAGAGTTTCGTTTAAGGGTTGTGAATTGGACTCCACACTACTGAAAGATGAGACAGATGCATCAGCCAATGCAGAACGAGACTCCACAAGATTGTTATGTGCACCAAACTCAAAAGAAGAATTGCCAGCGTAGCTAGGTTCTGATTTAATCATCCCTCCATCTATTACAGGTGTTATTGCCCTATTTGAGCTCTGACCCAACAACATATTTGCAGAAACATCAACGTTTCTGCTATGAGAAGCCATATTAATAGCTGTTTCGACACATGATGACTGCATTGATGACCCACAGTTGCTGAAAACATTGTGTAAATTGGCAGAAATAGGCTGGTGTATGTTCTCCGCCCTCAAAGTAGGGCCAACATTTTCTGCAGCTCTACAAACACCCAAGTTTTGTTGTGCTGCACAAAGTTATGATAGAATGAACAACAATATTGTGGTTTGTTGATAGCAGAATTTGGATCAAGTTAAATAATTTAACGTGTAAGCCACTATGATAACATCTAAATATTCGGTTAGACAGAAGAAGGTGCACTAAAGTATAAAGCTGAAAGGCTGTTCAGGGCATAAGCATGAAGTGCAGGCATCATTTAAGTGAAGTGCAAACTTTTCATTAAGGTTTAGCTTCATTATGCCACACAATCAAGCAACATGACGAGATGGCCTTACAAACTAAGGAATCCACGATAGGTCAATAACATTTTCCAATAATTTCTTCAATCCAAAAACACAATCACCATGGCAATCTTCATTAAACGTATTAAGCAGATTGAGAGTCAGAAAAATTGACACAGAAGGGAAAAAGAGACGGGATGAACAACTTTGAAGAGGGAAGGACGAGGAGAAGGGACAGAGAATCTAATATCTCTGCTCCAATTCTTGTCCCAGATAATCATCATATAACCAGAGAATAGGTTGCTCAACAACACTTAATGGATCTCCAATGAGTAGCTAGTATATGAAAAAGGGAACAAAAGGTGCACAAAATAACAAAGCACGCTACAATCAATTTAGATATAAACAGAAGATGTTAAAGCATAAAAGTTGACAACTTCATGGGGCTTTTGATACATTCAGACAGAGTTAAGTATTGAGTGCACCAAATCAACCTAAAACCAGAAAATTATCATACTTGGTGCAATATGAGATCCATTAGACATAGATATGGATGCTATCCCTGCTGACCCAAATCGACGCATCAACTCCACCTGTTCTGCAAGCAACTTGTTGAATTCCATGATTTGCTCTTTCACCATCAATCTTAGATAATATGCCTTGAAGAATTCTTGATTTTCTTCTTCCAGCTTTTGCCAAACTGAAATGCAGGTATCAAGTTATGACCTTGAAAGGTGTGCGACACAATTACAGACTGATAATGGAAGGGTAGCAACCAAATAAAGTCATGGTTAAAAGAGATGGCATCCCAAACTCAATCTCAATTTATAATACCAATCAAGAGGTACCAAAGAAAATCTAACAATATACAGTATCTCCTTAGACGAGTCTATGCTTCTTGGTCAACCAAACCTGAAAAGTTACTTCCCCTTCCAATTTCATCACTCTAAATACTAATGATTCTCATGAATTGATAAAATTTTTATCTATTTATATACTTTCATGACTTGACATACCATTTCAATTAAAGCTAATATAAATTCAAATAATCCAAAAAATGTCTTAAGTGTGTCAGACAACCATTATTTGTCAACAAAAATCAGGAATATACAAGAAGTAATTAATGGCTTGATCTCTGTTTGCACATGTTTACACAACTAGAATTCAGAACTCAACTAATACGCAAACAGCAAGTTGCTAAATGGCCCTGGAACCATCAATTTTATATCTTTACATGCAATGAACTATTAATTTGTTGCATAGCCACTAGCTCCTTTTCAAAACACATCAAAAACTATATTCTATCATCTCATAGTGGTACAGTAAAACAGCTACTAGACTGATCTGCCTTATCAACGGCAATTTTTATGCTCCTGAACTTTAAATTTTAGCTCACAATCAACACGCATAAGCCATAAAAAGTAGTCACAAAGGTACTGGTTGATGAACTTTCAGCAAATGGCCAAATACTATTCCACTAACAACCAGAACTTCTGCTGTTACGTAACCATCCACTTGAGGTAAAGGAAAAAGAGAAGCAACACCTTAATAATCATATTCTAAAATCAAAGAGATTAATTAGAAGCAGAAGTAGCTAAATCTAATATACATAAGGTAGCTGCACTTTCAAACTTCTCGCAACACCTCTCCATTATGTTCAGAATTAAAAGCAAGCAAGCATTTCTACTAGGAAATTTGGTAGATCACTTGCACCATAGGCTCAAATGAGGAACAAGATCTAAACATAGTCAACTAAAAGGTGGCAGCTCAAGAATGGGAAATAAAAAAAAAAAAAAGAGCTTTTGGGTAGCCAATCAACTAGCAAACATCCTGTGCGGACAGGTGGGGTGTAGGCAAAAGGAAATTTGTAATCACAGTACAAGATTACAACAATTTTTCACCCTAGGCAGCCAGTTGATTCAACTGGAGCATGACAAGAAAGAATTGAGTTGCTAATCCAATTCATGAATCATTAAGCATCTATGGACGTGGAAAGCAGAAAGTAATAACTTTTCAAATGTAACTTGATCCACCTCTAAAACCAAAATAGAAATTGCTTCTATCACATGGCCACTCTAAGGTTGATAAAAACAAAAATTGCTATTACGAATTATTGCTAAAAGGTCAATTTGACAAATATTCTTTTTATTCTGTTTTTATGCCATATACCCCAGCTCGCAGCCCCTAGAATCATCAAGCCCTGAAGGATGACATCCAGTGTTTATCTTATTATAGATATGTCACATACAACAATGTAAAACTAAAAAAAAAAATAAAGAATGATTCAATTTAATTCAGCATGCTCGAACTTCAAGCACTTGTTTGGACACCAATCAAACAACTATTTTGTTATCTTTTCTCTTTTCTAAGGTCTTGATTATTCTAGGGGATTGTCAAGATTGTTTGGTAAATGAAAGGGGAGAAAGATTTGGGGGAAGAAGAAGAAGACACGCCAACAGTTTCTCCTAACTCCATGCAAGTTTCAGACAGTACACCTGGACAGTATTTGTATCAACGCTATTTATGCCTTGGAATGCTTGAACCAATTTTAATGTACCAACAAACACAGAGTAATATACTTAGTGAAGCACTGGCCACAGCCGTTTTGCTAATTATCACCCTAACAATGATAAACAAAAGAAAAAGAAACATGTTACTTAACTAGCTAATTGTTTAGATAAAATAATACAAAAATTAGACTAAAACAAGTAAGAAGAACTATGAAATGCTTCAGTCACAAACAAAGTTACTGTTAGTGATTACTCATTTACTGGAAATAAATAATGCAGGGTTTAGTAAGAAGAATACCAATTTCAGTAACATGTGGCTCTATGTTGTCGTGAATGAACAGAGTGTTCATAACTTCCCTTTGGTTCATATAAAGGCGGAGACACCTTTCTATGCGATTTTGCACCTGCAAAGAGAGCACACTGGTTAAGAAAAATGAATGAATAAACAGATATCTGGAAATAATTTACTTGTGCTTTTTCCCTGTCTTTTCATCAGACTTTCAGTAAAATAAGGCAACAATACGATCAGCAAATCTCCAAGACAATCAAACCTCTTTTAAAATCGCAAATTTGTACCGCGTCTGATTACGATCAGAGGGCTTACATGCTAGCTTTAATGCAGAAGCAGATTAACAAAGAAAGTTCATTACTAAAATTGGCCAGAAATCATAAAACTAGCACATTTAACGTTTTGTAAGATAAGAAAGCCATAATACCTTGTCCCAATGGCTGGAAAAAAAGCTAAAGAAGATTTACACATGGGGAAAAAATTATGCAGCTTTACCCATGCCAAAACACTAAGACTACTTTAATGCATCAATTGCTGATGAAGGAAAATAGTACAGTGAAAATGCAATAAAAAAAAGGAAAGGAAAGAAGCAGCGCAAAATATTTGGTGCCTGGACAACGTTGTTCTTCTTTTGGCTGTGAATGCTACAGGTTGTGGCTACAATAGCTCCAGTTCTACCTTTTTACCATCTCTACTACACAGTAAGCGAAGGTACACATTGGATTTACAACTCAATAGCACACATAATACTGCACGAACCAAACACATAAACAGAACTCAATAATGTTGCTGTACAAGATGTCAAGCTTGCTAGATTGCACTTATTATATCTGTAAGTTTTTCAAGTGACTGAAAAGTCAACTAAATCATCTGAGCCGATGAAGGAGGGAAAATTTTCATATCCACAAATAATCAATAAACATGAATCTCTGCAGCTAATCTCTCTCTCTCTCTCTCTGTCTCTCTCTCTCAAGGTGGGCTTCATGTTAGAGATGATCCTTCTTGAGGGAAGGATACACTTTCCCCCATACTATTTACCTTGAACAGAAAGAGATGGTTGTTACAGCCTAACTTAAATTCTTATATATTTACTTTATCTAGTACCTCAAATTAATCTTATTCATCTTTTGTCTTATATATTCATCATTTGCTCCTCAACAGGTATTGGAGTTATATTGGTGCAATGCACTTTTTCAAATGAAATTGAACTATTTAAAGTAATTAAATAAAACAATTTCATGAGCCAAAATTCAATAAAACATGGCTGTTCTTATCCATATATATATATGTATGTATGTATGTATCAATGTAGGTACACTTGAATTTTGAATAGGAAGAATAACTTGACAATGACATAAGTCTCTCATTCATATGTTTGGATGGAACCTATGATTCACATACCATTACAGCAGTAATGTTGCAGAAAGTATATGGTAGGATTTTTTTGCACTCTGTCTTGGACAGAATAAATTAGGAATTCATCAGTCCATTTATTCTAAGGTCATTTGAGCCACACATAAAATAGCAGATATTTTAAATTCAAAAGCAAGTTAATTCCTTAAGTATTTCTTTAATTTAATTTTTCAAAATTGTTGTAGTTCTTAACATCCATACATTGCATACATTGAGTTCTTTACAGCTCATTTATTATTCTATCGAATAGTTATTTCCAACATAAGTTGAAATCTTTTGTATTCAACAAAATCTCAAATTTTTCTGAACCTATAAGCATCCAAAACAACAAACTGAAAATCAATGCAAATTCTTCCATTACTTGGAATTCCAAAGATCTTCTCTACTTGTTCATTCCCATGCAAAAGTCAGCATAGATCAATTTTTATCAGATGAAATAGCCCAAGAATGTGTTTTACTGGACCAAAATTCAAAACATATTTCAAGAAATATGGATTAAACCTTTTCTTCTGCCTTGACCACTTCTTTTGCTGGCATGATTCATCACCTTATTATCATTTCTTCTTTTGATGTCAAGTTTTTCCCAGACTTACCAGAGTAGGGTTTTGTGCATGCAACTCAGATTTTTACGTGTATGGTGGCATATTAATTTGTCTGCTTTTCTAACATCTATCATACATGTCTTTACACAAACACACAAAAAACATATTTTTAAAACAATTTCAATATTCTAAGCAATATATATTACTTTCATAATATTACAAACCTAAATTCAGAATTTTTATTTTAAAAGTGTGTATTTCAGAAAACTTATAATTCCATGATTCATAAATTGTATGACATTAAAAGTGGAGTTGCAAAGCATGTTCAAAACGGTTCCCACTATTCCTTTTCTTCGATGCTTCTTGAAAAACTTTTTGGTTCTTAAAGTTAGAAACTGATTTGCAGAATTTTATTCGAGACTTTGCAGTATGTTGAAAAAGCTTTTTCATATTTGCCTAGTCAATATAACTGAATAAACAAATACAAGGTTTTCATTTACTAATAAATGAAGGCAACTGAAGTCCCCGAAGTTATTTACATCAAAGGTTCATAATATTAAAAAGAAAGGAACTAGAAGAACATAGCCACAATATATTCTTCAGACATCTTGGATTCAAACAGATGTAATACAATATAAGGGTGACCATATTCATGGGCCAAAAGGCTAAGCTTGAAGATCACCTTATCTGAAATTGGGAAAGATGATTTTCAACCAAAAAACTAAAATGAGCAACCAGGAAATGGGCATGTAATAATTCAAAAGCTTACTAGTGTCAAGAGCTTTCCCCCATCTTCAGAAGACATTTTGCCGAATTCAGTACTTGTCAAGTTCTTAGGTGGAGATCAATGAGTAAGCTATTGACCACTGTATTTTCCAGGCTTTATGATAGCTAGACGTCACCTGATATCAAATATGAAAAAGTTGCCTTTACAAGGAAAACCAATAAAAGGAAACGGGTGGGGCAGAAGACAGTTACTATTTAATTTTTGCCAAAAATGACCCTGATGCAACAGCGTAGGGTAACAAGTGATAAACCATACATATCAAGGATTCATGATTTGTACTACAACTAATACTGAAAAGTGAATGGGCAGGGAACAGACAACAGTTACAAGTATCTATAGAAAGAACTAGCAACAAAAGAAAATGGCCCTGCACAACCGGCGTAGGGTAACAAGTAGTAAACCATCTACATCAAGGATTCATGATTTAAACCACAACTAACGCTGAAAAGTGAATAGGCAGGGTATAGACATCAGTTACAAGTATCTATAGAAAGGACTAGCAACAAAAAGTAAAGGATTTCACATAATACAATGAAACTTGCCAATCTTAAGATTGAGATGGGCATAGAAAGGTGTCTATTCATAAATGCATTCGAACTCTTTCCTTATTTAGGGACTGCACAAGTATGAAATTGCTGCTCTCCTGAATCAGTCCTTCTCACCATGCTTGGCATAGTAAATATAGACCTAGAAACAAAACATTGAAACTATGGATAATCGCCACTCCAGAACGTGCAACTATTTATCCAAATTACCTCTTTAAAACAACACAAGAATTCTTATGTTTACTTCATGCAGCCAACGTGCTACAGGTTTCAAAAGCACACTTTTGAGAAAACAAGGAAATCTCAAAGGGCCTTTTTAGTGGACAATTGAAGCCTTAACCAGTTGCATCAGTTAAAGAGCAAACTTTCTTCAATAGATGGCAAACTTTATCATGCACAGAGAAGCCATTTAATATCTTTAACAAGTTGGTAATGGACTCAAAGGCCCAAAACCGGTTAGGATAAGACAATTACAATTAAGCTATCTTATAGTAACCTTTCTAATTGTTAAGGTGTGATATTTGGCCCTCCTTTCTTGGTTAGGTTCCTTTTGTTTTCATTTATGTACTCAAGAGGGCTTCTTTATTTAATTATTCATCTTGTAGTCTTTTTTCCCCCTTTTGGTTGGTTTGGAGGGGGGAGGGGATATGATAGCTTTGATGTGCTCCTAGCATGTCACCAAAATGAATGGCAGCAAGCACTCTTTGTGATAACATGCTCTGGCTAAATCAATCACGAGCATCTACTGGGACAAGTCAGCAAGAAGGTAAAAGAACAAGTAAATTATGTCGAATAATCAGGATATAATAGCAAACTCCAACTTTGAACCAATCAACATCTGGTCAATCAACCATGCTGAGTCCAGAAATTAATTTTGAGGTGCAATTTTACATCACAGCATAGTTGCAATTTTGCAACTTCGGTATTACATGCGGATGCAATCACGTACTTAGACCACGCTGTAAAATTTCTTGGGGCTTGAGTTCAACGCACACCTTAATTATGTTTGTTATACAGAGAGACCGACAGGTGATTGTATAGCCCCACACACCGACTGTTCAAGTCCACGCGTTCTACCTTAATTATGTTTGTTATACCGGTAGACCGACTGGTGATTGTATAACCCCACACGCCAACTGTTCAAGTCCACTTGTTCTACCACAATTATGTTCATTATGCTGGTAGACCGACTGGTGATTGGTGTAACCCCACACACTGACTGTTCAAGTCCATGTGTTCTACACAAGACATTGCTGACTTACGAAGCAATAGACACCTAAAATATACTTCAGTCAGGTCACAAGTAGATTCTTTTTAAGGAGAAAAAGGAAAAATACAACGCCGATACCGGAATCTCCATTAGAGACCAACACATGAAACAGAACCTACTTAAGACAGCAATTGACAAGTTCTCCAGATAGGCAACTACCAATACAATCAGTTACCTTCTTTAGTTAGAGTGCGAGTAATTAGAGAAGACTGACTCAAAGGAAGCAGGGAAACCTTTTCAGTAAATGAACAAATTTGCTTCCATTTCTCCAAAAAAAAAAAATCAAGTACAATCTATTGAGATTGCGATTTTCCATTTCATTCCAAAAAAAGAAAATAACCAAGCTTTATACAGTTCTATTTTCTATCCCTTCTTTCCTGCGCCCTGAAACCTATGCCTAAGCCAAGAATTGAACACAGCATTAATACAAGAACAAGAATATGAATAGTTTGTCCAGAGTTGCAAGAAGTAAACGAGAAACCAAGCAACCATTTTAAGAGATAATATACCAAACCGATGGTCTTCAAGGTGAAAGTATAGTAGCTAAGAAATGAATGCAATGACAAATAAACAAGGAAAACAAACTATGCAAATGATGATTGAATCAACAAAATCGAAGAAATAGCAAGATTGCACAGGGTGTATTGAACTCTTCAATCTCCTAGCAGTAGAACAGACCCAAAAAGTTAAAACCAAAAAAAAAAAAAAAAGTAAAAACAAGAAACCATTACCATTCTGGTAACACAAATGCAAAAACCTAGACAGAGGAACTTTAAACTGCTATAGTCTGTTCTTTCTTATCTAACTAATCCTCCAAAAATCAAAACTTTAACAAACTCGCACACAAAAACACCCATAAAACAATAAATTCAATATCCTTCACATAATGATGCACATACCACAGTTTTAGTTTCAAATTTTCCCCCAGAAAATGAACAAAAGAAACCATGATCACTAAAACGAGAAGCATACAGAATAAAACCTTTTCCATTTCTTGACATACAACAAAAACCCACAACAAATAACAAGAAAAGGATCATATCACAGCTTTAAAAAGAAAAAAAAAAGAATCTTGAAAAAGTTAAAAGATAAAGCTGCATTTTTTTCTCATTTACCTGAATATTAGTACTGGCTAACTCGTTCTTGGCAGAGATTCCAAGTTAAGTAATTCAGAGCATTTCTGGGAAGAGCGAGAAAAGAGAGAGAGAGAGAGAGAGAGAGAGAGAGAGAGGGAGGGAGGGAGAGGTGGAAGTGGAGAAGGAGTCCCAGTATTACAACTCTACTCTACTTACGTTCATTATATTTCTTTCAGTTGAATCTTTTGATTTAATTGTGCTTTTAATTTCTTTGAAATTTATTCAAAACTTCCTTCTTAATTAAGTGCCCCACTTTTTTCTTTTTTGTTTTTTTCTTGAAAAGAGGAATGCAAAAGTTTGGAAATATGACGCGGCTACAATGTCATTACACCGTTTGTGCTTTTCATGGTGTAATTCCACTTCCTCAATATTCTCCTTTCTTCTTTTTATTCCTTAACATTCTCCTCCTTCTTTTCTTATCCTTTGCCAAGGATATATATATATATATATATATATATATATATATATATATATATATATATATATATATTTTGGTTCCTTTTTTTTATATATATCTTTGGTTAGAGACCAAAATAAAAGTTTCATTTTTATTAATCTTTTGGGTTAAATATGTGTGTTTAATTATCTTTCATTATGGAAATGCAAAAGTAAATTCATTTGTATCTTTCATTATTTTTTCCTTTTATTTTTATTTCATCTTTTGGGTTAAATATGTATGTCATTTACAAAAAGATGGATGGACGTTTTACAAGGTTGTATATATTGGTTCCTTTTTATCATTGGTTAGAGACCAAAATAAAAGTTTTTTTTTATTCTATTCATCTTTGGGGCTAAATATGTGTGTTTAATTATCATGCATTATGGAAATGCAAAAGAAAAATCATTTGCATTGCATTTCGTGTGTCTTTTTATTTGAAAAATGTTATTTTTTTCCTTTTATTGTGTATGTTATTCACAAGAATAGACGTTTTAGAATGTCATTTAAAAACAATTTACTGTCTAAATATTTACGTGTGGAAATTACTAGAAATTAATTCACACAGAATATTCTAATATTGAATACATTATTCTACATATATATTATGTTACCTTACGCACATTTACAATTTTTCTCTATATTCTTCTTTCTTTTAAGGAAATAAATTGTTTTTTTTTTTTCAAATTATAGCTACTATTACAATTAAAATTCACAATTGAAATTTTTGTCTCACACAAAGGGAGTACCTTGACGTACACTTGTTATTTTTGGACAGTCAAAGATGGCACTGTCCTGAAGTTACCACATTGGCCCAGGCAACAGCAGCGACAAGGCCCAAAAGATATTGCCGTTGGTTTTAACATTTCGTCTGGATATCTTGTCCTTTTTAATCAGTAAGGCCCCCACTTGGTGGCAGCTGTTAGCCACCCGCTGCTGGTGGGTTCATGGGCCCCCATGGACTAGTGGGTACCTCAAGTCCATTGTTGGACTACCTGCTTTAACCTATTCGCCTAATGGGCGTCAGCGGGCTTACATCGTTTTTTTTTTATTTTTTATTTTTAAAGGGAGATTTCAAGCTTTATAAAGAAAGGAAAAATAGGTGCCTAGTTAATGTTCTATCAGTTGAAATGAGTTTGTTGGACATTGCATAAGTGAAAATGAAAAAGAAAATGACGTTTGCTGCTGCGGGTTTTTGATATAAAAAAAAGTATTTTTGAGATGTTTTGTGAACATCATCTCATACAATTAGGAGTGAAAATTTTGGTGTAAAAATGTTTTTAGCAAAAGTTCAAAATTGATGTTTTTAGAATAGTTTTTTAGTAGTTTAAAAAATAAAATATTAAATTTGTTCATTTTATCCTATATTATGAACTAAATAAAGAGATAAATATATTTAAAATTTTCAAATTATGCATTATCCAATACAATAAGTACTTATTAAACTGTATCTAAAGAATATATTTAAAAACACTTAAATACCGAATAAGTTCTTTTATCAAAAGCTCTACGTGAAGTACTTGCTAATAAACTACTGACCAACCCTTAAAAATAGTTTGTCACCAGTGAGTCTTGTGTTCATTGCCCCAATTACTGATTATGTAATGACTTAAAGAGTGTAGCAATTCAGCAGTCCTTCAATCTTTCTCTGAAATCGAGTTTTGATTTGCTGAAAATGGTTTTGTCCTTCTTTAATTAGAGCTAAATGCAAAAAAAAAAAAGGGAAAAAAAGAAAGGTTGTATACCATTCTAACCTAGGGTGTGCAAAATCAAAAAATTCCGATTTACCGACCGTCGGAAATTCGAATTCGGTAATTCGGAATGAAAATTGGAATTTCGATTTCGAATTGGTCGAATTCGGTAACGAGATTTTTCAAATCGAAATTTCCGATTTCGAATACACAGTTCGAAATTCAAATCGAAATCGAAATTCGGAATTTCTATTTCGATTTCAAATATGTTTTTCATATATATATATATATATAATATAATATAACATTTATATTATAATAATAACTTTTATATTCATGAATTCGGTGTATTTCGATTTCAATTTGTTTTCACACATATATATAATATTTTTTTATATATGTAATATAATATTTATATAATAATAATTTTTATATTTATGAATTTGGTGAAATCGAAATCGAAATTCGTTTCGAATTCGAATTCGGAATTGGTGAATTCAAAATTGAAATCGATCGAAATTCTGATACCAAAATTTCGAAAAATTCTGATTTCAAAGTTTTGAATTATCGATTTCGATTCACACCCCTATTCTAACCTGAACAAGAGGTTGCTAATGACACAAGTGTCTTCTATTCAGAAGTCCAACAAGGTAAACAGCATGTGCAACGACCATGAACATGCACTCAACAGCATGTGCAGTGACCATGAACATATACTTACATCACAAGCTGCACGCTTATTGGACTTGAGCAGATCAACAGTTCAACACTAGAAATATGGATACACAGAGAGATGATGGACTGGAAATTGTGTATTTCTATTCATGGCATTGAAAGTCTATCGCTCTGCTCAAGAAATAAAATTTAGTATTTAGAATGACAACACAAGAAAGTCTATTATGGGTTGTTTCGCAGAAGCCAACAGTGATGATTTCACTGATCCAGGATTAGAAGCATGGTTCAAAGTACCGAGACGATTCGGCCGAATCGTCATCGGAACGGATCTCTCTGATACAATATCCAAACAAGATGATTTTGAGATACTTAACTCATCGAGAACTTGGCCAAGTCACCAAAAACTCGGCTGAGAAATCCCCGATATGAATAGTCTTGACTAAATCAGCTCGAATCATCCCGAGTCAACTCGCAAATCTACATTTTATAGATTTTCTTTTACTAAATTTTTTTATTATTTTTGTTTAGCATATTTTTTAATATTATTCACAATTTTTAGAATATTAAATGCTTCAAAATTTGCGTCTCGTCGAAATCGTGACCTCTATATACCGAGACTGATGTAAAACGGTTCGGACCGCGACCGCAACTTTGAACCATGATTAGAAGTCTATATGTGTCGTGAATTATAGTTTGCCCCTTGGTTCAGTTCAGACTTCAGACTCTAGATACTAGAATTAGAATCTCGAGTGCAAAATGCTGGCGGATAGGTAAGAGTCAGAATTGATTTATGGACTAGGGGAATTTTTAGCAAGAGATGGAATGTTCTATATATGTACTAATATGAGGGCATATCCTGAAACTAATGAAACAAGAAGAAAACAGAAGTATAATGCTACTCAGTCGAATGTTTTTCTTCTAAATATCAAAATGGCCGTGCTAATTTATAATCTGATATGGTAAAAACTTGGGGGGATACATTGTTTGAACTACTGGATTAGCTGGGGCAGAACATCTGGTAGGGAAGATCCCAGAAAGAATCGTTACAATCATGAACATTCTCCCAATATTCACTCACACCATTCATTGCATACAGGGATGCAGATATCTGTCTCTGAACCTTCATATGTTCGAAGTCTGGAATCTGATGATAGTATTGAGTTTGGTGATCGCTCATCATCTCGGATATATCTTTTTTGGGCAATTCAAAACCTGCATCTTGTTGACCTAAAAGAATCCTATCAAAATCAGATGCAAATGTTGAAAATAAGCTGCCATCACGGCCGGTGGTATAATCAAACTGATCAGAAGATGATGCCAGTTCATATCCTCCTGCAGCCATGAAGCAGCTCAAGTCCGGCTTATATGCATCATCAAACAGCTTTGTCTGCGCTTGAATTGTCGTGAGAACAGCTGCAGAGCTATCACTACTGTTGCTGCTGCTGCTGCTAAAACTACTTCCACTAGCACTACTCTGAGAAGTACTACTGCTGCTACTAGTACGCGAAATGGTTCTGGAACTGCTCTCTGTGGCTGTCTTGTTGGAGGCTGTGGAAGCGAGAGAGGTGATTTTGTTGAGACGGCCTTTCTTCTGATTGAGGAGGTTTCTGATCTTCAAGGACAGAGCTGGATTGCAAGGAACATGATTCATGAAATTGGTTCGAGTATTCGAGCCTCGGAGAAGGCAAGCAGCCTCATCATAAGCTTGAGCAGCTTCTTCAGCTGTGTCAAACGTCCCGAGCCACATCCTGATCTTCTGAGTAGTGTTCTTGATCTCTGCTACCCATTTGCCTGATGGCCTCTGTCTCACCCCAACAAACTTCCTTTTGCTGCTGCTGCTGCTGTTTCTATCCACCATATACGTGCCTTGTTTTTGGAATTGAAGTTCCATTTTCCTCCCCGCCCAAGAGAACAAGCTCAATCAGCTATAAAATTCTGTCAAAGTACAAAAAAAAAAAGTAAATAGACAGAGGAGCCCTGAGTAGTCTCCTTGATTCTTCACAAATGGAGACGACAGAGACTTATATAGTCATGACATTAGTGGGCAACCTCGTCGTGCTTTTGTTGTCAGTTTATAAAATTCAATTTGTTCTTTTATAAATGTTTGACTGATTTTTCAATGAAAAGGGTTCGGACAATGCCAATCAACCATGACTGGTAAGCATGACCAATGCTCGCACACATATTATCACACAGCTCTCTGGAAATGTTTATTTGCTTTTGGTATTATTTGCCTGATTTCCTGCAGGGCATGCTTGCACCTTTATGCCTAACACGTTCTTTCTTTAGGTTCTTAGCAAAACTGGCAGGATTTATCAACCGCTCCAACAAACAAATCTCCCTTGTTTTTATATCGGTGGAGCAACAAGCACACCTACCTGCCAATCAT